TTCTTTTAAAGTATATGCAAAGTAGATTATAAATTGTAAAGAAAAATGGCAATCTCAGAAATTCACAATCATAAACACAAAGTTTTATACTTGTTCCACCAACCCGGTGTACATCCAGTCCCCAAGCAAATCCCGCTTGAGAGTTTCCACTATGATTTTAAATAAACTTACAAAATCAAAAGCAAACCTGACCAATTTGCAAGTCCCTGCAAATTGCAACACCAATTGACAAGACCATGCCAATTGCCACCTAATCTCTAAACCAACAGATCAACCCTCTCAAACCCGAGAGAAATCCTTTTTAAAGCAAGAACACAATTGATCCTATAAGCCTTGAATATGTAATGAAGTGCAGCAGTGGCTTAGGATTTTTTTAACTCTCTGAATATTGCCTATACAATCTCTAAGAATGATTGAAACCAAGGTAATATCAGAAAATCTCTTTTTCTAAACACTTAGCATGAAAATCTGAAAAACTAGAGAGTGAATATGCACAAATGTTTGATCTTAAACACTTAGCATGAAAATCTGAAAAACTAGAGAGTGAATATGCACAAATGTTTGATCTTATGTGTATGAATTAGTTGTGCAAATTAATCTGAAAAACTAGAGAGTGAATATGCACAAATGTTTGATCTTATGTGTATGAATTAGTTGTGCAAATATCTGAACTTATAACCTATTTATAGCCCTTAAAAAGACAAGTTTTCAACCCCTAAAAACGTACACAAAACGGCTATAAACAGTCACTTATTCAAAACCTGACACAAAACGGCTATAAACAGTCACTTATTCAAAACCTGAAATCTGGAAAAACTGCATCTGTAGTCGACTACAAGTCATAGTAGTCGACTACACTAAGTCTAAACAGACTCTGTGAAGTCAGAAAATTACTTAGTAGTCGATTACAAGGCATAGTAGTCGACTACACTGTAAACTCACAGATTCTAGAATTTTCTTTTTAGTATTTTGACTATAACTTTCTCATCCGATATCAGAATGAGGTGATTTAAGATTTGTTGGAAAGCTCTTGAAGAGACCTACAACTTTAGTCTTTAAGTTTTTCCAGATTCTAATTGATATGGGATATAAATGAAATGTTTTAAGACTCACTCAATATATATAAACTCTAATGACTAACATAGGGGATTTTTATTGTTAACCAACACACTAATCTTGTGTTAGTGTGTTCTAACACTATGTGTGTGCATGTGTGTGAGTGATCAAGTCTTGTATAAATTTCTAAGCAAAGAAAATATAAAATTACATTTTGACAATGAAGTATATCTTCTTCTTTGCTTCATTTTGCCTTGAACTCATCTATGTCTTGAGTATCTCTTTGAATATAATTGTTGATATAGCTCTGATACTGCAAAACAAATATTAGCACATAATACACATAACATATAATATTTGTTATCATCAAAATAAACTAATCTTGGGGTCAAGATTCCTAACAAATAAATTTCAAAATTTATGAAATTTGGGAAAATAATTATTCTTATGAAAATAAGCATGTTAGAAAAATAAATTTCAAATATCATTTTCTAATTGTGAAAACTTATCATTTTGCAAAACGGTCAAAAAATACGGTATTTGGAAATGTGTGTGTATTAACCCCAAATGCTTCAAAAGTTATCACCTTTATTTCTTACCTACATTATGACCTATAGAGAAAATAAAAATGTAAATATCACTCACATATATATACAAAGTCTTGAGTCTTGATATTTGTTAATTTGTTGATTAAGCTCCTCTTGTAAATTTTGTACTTGTAAGCTCTTCTTCATCAACTTGCCTCTACCTCCACCGATATCATCGTTACGATGCAAATTACATCCATCCTCTAATAATGGTACTATTTTGCTTGATAAAATATATCCCGCACAATATCACTTGGTAAGCAATTAGCACCAATAATATGGTTTGTAAATCATCATTAAAATACGAGACCTAACATTCTGTTGCCAATGGCACTTTGGGGTTTTGGGAAAAGTGCATATGCCTATGACATACAAAACTAATGGAGGGGATTTTTTACATTAGAAAGCAGATCAAGAGGCTACGATGCGAGAAATTCTTAGGTGCTGAAGGAGCATCAAGGGGGTATAAACCAACCCAGTAGGAATAAGCTTTTTTGGCACACAACTTCTCATCTTCTTATTTATAAGTGATCTCGTTATTTTCTCATTTATAAGTGATTTATGGCATATTGATGTAGGACGCTTAATGGAAAATTTCATGGAGGATTCGTACAATCACGAGGTAAATACAAATTTATCATATTATTAATTTCTGCACAGAAACAATCATATCTTCTAGCATGGAAGACAGATTCTAACATATTATATATGTAAATCGCCTATCTCGATAAGACAAAGCAAACCAGATTGTTAGATTTTTAAAATCTCATTAGAAATACCTAGTTTTGGCTAAAATCCAAAAGTAATCAGCTTTTAGTTTATTTTTAGTAATAAAGTTGGAATCTATTTAGATTAGAAAATAAATTCAATGTTAGAGTTAAATTAGATTAGGAAAAAAAATTCAATTTTGATTCATGATTTCTTTCCTCTATTATAGGGAGTCTTTTTAGGGTAGGATCTGATACTTTTTATTTCTTTATAATTCTAGTCTTACTAGGAGTTTTATTTATTTTTCTATTTAAGAAGAGTCATGTAAATCCAAAGAAGAATAATCTTTTATTAATAAAATTCCTCTTTAATATTTTCTTCATGGATTTAAAGTTCTTCGTGGATTCAAAGATCGTTCTTTGTGGATTCAGAGAACAATCCTTGGTAGATTCCGAGGTTTATCACTTCTGCGCTGCGTTAATTAGTATCAGAGTTTTATTTTTCTGATCCGATGGTAGGCAACAAAGCCCCTATTTCTCAAACCGAGTTCAATGAGTTGAAGACTAACGTCAATCAGATTAAGGCAGCCATAGATCGACTTGCGTAATGAAGCATTTGAATACGATAGGAGTTCAAAATCGGGTTGATGGTTACCAACGACGTGATCTGACTCCACAGGATGAATTCAACAGTGATAATGACCCTAAGCAAGATCTTGGAGTTTGGAAGAGTACTAAAGAAGCAATAAAGAAAGAAGAACTACCTCCGGAGGATAATATCTTCCACATGAGATGCACTGTGATGTAGAAGGTTTGTGATGTTATCATTGATAGTCACAGTAGCAAGAATCTTGTCTCTCGGCGTATGGTGAATAAGTTTGGTTTGAAGATAAAGAAACACCCACCTCTCTATAAGATCTACTGGATTCGCAAGGGTAATGATGTGCCAAAAGATAAGATGTGTCGGGTACCTTTTTCTATCGGCCACAACTATGTTGATGAGTTGTTGTGTGATGTGGTCGAGATGGAAGCTTGTCATGTAATTTTAGGTAGGCCATGACAATTCGATATTGGAGCTACCCATAGAAGCGAGAGCCAATGCTTGTATCTTCAAGAAGGATGGACGCAGAAATGTACTTATACCTCTTATAGAAAATGAGTCATCTAATAGAAAGGCTACTGAGAAGAAGAAACTTTTGGTGGCAAACAACAAGGCTTTAGCAGAAAATATGAAGCAATTTGAAGCGATCTATGACTTAGTTGTAATTGGAAACGAAGAGCCTGCCCATGATGAAATCCCTCCTAAGGTGCAAACACTCGTTATGCAATAGATTCATGATGGTGAGATGATAGTGAAGATGTTTGATATGCATGATATTTCCAAAGGGGTTGAGAGTGATATTGCATATATTAATGTTGTCCCGATGGAGGAGAATGATAAATTAGAGAGTGAGACAATTGATGATATGTGTGAATTGCTTGATGGAAGGCTAGAGACAAAGGAGATGAAAGAATTGTGTATGAAGTATGATGCGGGGTTTTCTTCTCTGGAAGCAATGGTTGTGAATAGTTTCAAGATGATTTTGATGATACTTCCAGCACTAGAATATGAAGCAACATGGAATATTTTTGAGAAGTTTTTCAAGTCAATTGCATATCCACATGCCGCCAATAAAATACACATTATGTGGGAAAGAATAATATACGAATTTAATTCAAAAGAAGTACTAGCTGAGGAGGTAAAAGAACAAATGGAAAAAATCTATGCTAAGCACAAGGCGAATGCTGATCGATACAGGAGAAGAAAAATATTTATTGATGAAGCTACTATATATTCAAGCAAATATAAGCTCAGAGTCGAGCTTCTTTCAACAAGGGGAGACTGATTTAGGACGCTTAACAGACAACTTCATGGAGGATTCGGACAACCACGAGCTAACTACAAATTTATTGTATTATTGACTTTCACAAAGAAACAATCATATCTTCTAGCCTAGAAGGCGGATTCTGACATATTATATATATAAACCGCCTATCTCGATGAGATGGAGCCAACCAGATTGTCAGATTTTTAAATCTCATTGTTTATACCCAGTTTTGGCTAAAATAAAAAAATAATCAGTTTTAGTTTATTTTTAGTAATAAATTTAGAGTCTATTTAGATTAACAAATAAATTCAATGTTAGAGTTAAATTAGATTAGGAAATAAATTCAATTATGATTCATGATTTATTTCCTCTATTATAGGGAGTCTTTTTAGGGTAGGATTAAAACTTTCTATTTTTTTTATAATTCTAGTCTTACTAGGATTCTTATTTATATTTCTATTTAAAAAGAGTCATGTAACTCAAAGGAGAATAATCTTTTATCAATAAATTTCCTCTTTAATATTTTCTTCATGGATTCGAATAATCTTATTTATAGGGAGTCAATAATTTTCCTTTTGTTACACCCTCCTCCTGTTGGAATAGTGTAGTACTCATGGAGTACCGAAGATTTTTTTCCACATGATGGCTTGTCCCATAATTCTTCTTATAGTTCTGGAATCTAGAAAAAGTTGATAGTTATCATCATTTATCCTCATTAATTGAGATTCTGCGGTATGAAACTCTTATATCCAGACATACAAGTACCTCCCGCTTAGACTAGCTACACAATAACTTAATTATTAGAACAATTTCTCCAGTACAAAGAAACATAATGTACCTTACATCGACAAAAAAAATTCAAAAAAATGTAAACAAAATGCTACACTAATGATAATTTCATCCAAATAAATCAAATTCACATATTTCGCTCTCTCTTTCTGTCTACTTGTACGTACATATATATATTAGCTTCACAACACACAATAAACCTAAACCACACTCTTCTCACCCCGCAATGGTATCGACCCTGGGAACATGAACGGGAAACCCGTGGATCTCATCGCTCCAAGGGTTCTTCTCCTTCTCCGGTCTAATCGTCCTCAACGCTCTCCACACAGCGCTGTTACACTTAAAACCAGATCCAAAGGCAATCTGCCAAGCCCGGTTCCCTCTCCTCATCCTCCCCTTCGCCTCCGTGTACGCTAGCTCGTACCACAGCGAGCTGCTCGACGTGTTCCCAAACCTATATAAGGTCATCCTTGATGGCTCCATATGCCACTCACTAAGTTCCAGGTTCTTCTCCAGCTCATCCAACACTGCTCTTCCACCTGTGCATGAGCAAACAAAATTTAACCAGATGTATATTTGATTAATTTAATTATTAACTATACATTTAATCAAATATTCAAATCAGATATGTGTGTGTGTATATATATAGAGAGAGAGAAACTTATGTCAACTCAAATGGACCATCCACCAAAGTTTCTATCCATTGATGAAAAGTCTCTTCATATGATGCACGGATCTCTAGGTATTAACTTTTAGTTATAAAAATCTATTTCGGTTTCAAATAAGTCAAATTGTTTAATATTCATCAATTGACCTGCGTGGATGCAGAAGTGTTCGAACGCAAGCTTGAAGTCCGGGATGTAAGGTTTCATTTTAATCTTGAATATCTTTCGTCCGACTAGCGTCAAGAAGAACAGGAACTGCTCCGACAGCGGGAGGACGAGAGGGCCGAGGGTGGTAATATTGGCTTTAAGGGACTCTCCGGCAACAGCCATTAGGCTTTGCGAGAGGAAACGCCGATTTTCCGGCTTGGTCTCTTACTTGGAAGACGCAGGAGTAGGAGCGGTCCTCAGAGCCCTTGTGGGTCCGGACGGTGTGGAAGGAGCTGGATATTCGAGCGGCGGCGGTCTGAACGGCGGTGTGAGGAGGATGGCGCACCGCCATGCGAAAGAGGCAGTTGGAGACTAGATGGCAGCGGTTGCTTGGCCCCGTATTACCAGTTCAGGGTTATGTTCTCCATGCTTACTACCAATGCGTAGGAGTTGCGGTGAACCTGTGTGAAATTGGAAATAATTGGAAATTCAATCAATTTAATTCTTCATAAGACTTGATGTCTATAGAAATTTTGAATATTCAGATCCTTAGCATAATAAGAGTATCCACACATCTTATTATTTACAAAACCAAAATATCGGTCCAGGTCTAACTAAGTTGCCCTTTTTCTTCTAGATTACAATACTTTTAGTAATTCACTCTCATACTTTTTGCACCTAATTAAGCATGACAGCTAAACGATATAAATTTAGAAAGGCTCTGCACATACAGTTGCATCAGTATACCAGCTAGATGACCCGATGCATATATTGTTGGAAAGCGACGTGCAACAAAAAAAAAAAAAAAAATCTGCCCTTGTTTTCAAATGGCCATTAATTATTAAACCCCACTAAATTTACTAGCTCAGAAATTTTGCTCAACCACCTAGACCCTCTCTTGTAGGACAAGTCATAGTTTATTATATTAATTGTCTCTGGTGTCTTGGTCACTTAATATGCTAGGATTAGATAAACTGCCTAAAGATTAAGTGGATCCATCATAAAATTTATGAACAAGAGGAAGAGTGTTTTCCTAATTCCATGATTATTGACCTTTGATCGTTTTCCATAATTAGGATAAAGGAGACGTTAGATAGCAGACGGTCCCATGGGGATGATTGCGTCGACATCATATGGATTTTTAGAAGATTACAAACTCCTTGGAGTAATAAGTAATAAAATTGATATAGGACAATTAAATTAGTTGGAATATTAAAAATGATATAGGTCAACAGCTTTGGTACTCCAAACTCCTTGGAGCACCGATGGCAATGAGTTGTAATTTTTTTTCCTGTAAATTATTCCCTCTCAATTCACAATTTATGGGTTAAGGCAGTTAAAAGGAGTTCTCAGCACCTAAATTTGTAATGAAATCAAATTTAAAGGCTATTCTAGGGAATGAAAGTCAAGAGAAACTGGTTTTAAAGTTTTAATCCAGTCTATAACTAATCGAGGCTATTTTTTTTCCTATCAAAAAATTTCAGTTATTTATTTCCTATAAAAAAAATACAGTTTTTAACTTATCAAAATTCTACGATTTTTCCTTTCAAAAGTCCCATCTTTTTTTTTTGCTTGGATTAATTTTTTAGATTGAAATTCTTATGAAAATTAAACATGCATCATACTTATTTATCTTTTATTATTTTTAATTATTTTTTAAAGATTAAAATTGCCTCATATGACATATCGTCAACAAAAAGAAGATGATTAGTTGTGTTTAACGGAATAATAAAAATTTTATAAATAGAAGAAATATTAAAAATTTAACCATTATTTATTTATTTATTTCCAAAATTTAACTTATGGACCAAACTTTAGTTAATGGGTTCAATAAAAAATAACTTTTCAATAACATATATAGGTAGAGTTAACAGAATCACGTTGATACTAAACTCTTGTGATTTGCATCAGAATGATTTTTTTTGGCTAATATGTGAATAGAGTAGGATAGTTTGGGAAGAGATATGATAGTAAAAGAAAATGATTTAAATTAAACAGCAAAGGTTAAAAATAGCCCTTTCTATTTTTTTTAGTTTTTTTTTTTCCATTTTCTAAGATTTTAAAATTTTAAAAAAAAAATCTAATTATGGAGCACCGAAGCATTGCTAATGATATAATAATAGTAAAAAATGGGACAATTCTTAACAAAACTGATGAAAAACAGAATTCTTACTTATTTATTTATTTTCTGTTTTATTGTTATATCAATTAGAATATTAACTGTTTAGAGGTGCGAACTATAACCTGAAGCAGTTGCTTGGCGAGATCTATGGAGATGAGCCCAGCACTGCATCCCATGCCTCCAAGATTGTAGCTGGCGATGTTCCCCCTCAACTTGTACCGATTGACGACCATAGCAGACAGCGACGGCGTCGGATTGAACAAGCTGCAGTTCACCACGAGCACCCCGATATCCTTGGGCTTCACGTTGGCCTTCGCCAAGAGATCGTCGATCGCCCCGAACATCACCATCTCCGCCTCCTTCCTCGCCTCCGCCATGCACGGGTTCGGGGGCACCCTCAGCACCGCCTCGGGGAAGTACGTCGACTGCCCGAGCCCAGAACGTTCCAGAATCTTCTTCTGGAAGAAATTGTTCTACCTCGGCTGAAGGGCCCCGCCTGCCGACCGCCTCCACGAAGAGGTCCGCTTCGGGCACTTCCTCGCCTCCTCGGGCTTGTAGCACGAGAAGTCGAGGGAGTTAGACCGGACGGCGGCCTCGTCGTGAAATATAAGAGTTGTTAGAAGGCGAGGGTTACGCGTGCAGAGGATGACCGGTGACGACATGGAGGCGGAGCTGGTCCCAGGTGACATACAGGTCGTCGACCGTTCAGACGAGAAAGTGTAGCTGCAGCCGGCGGCGAGAAGAGGGACGAGAGGAGATATATGGCTTGGAGATCAAGTAGTGATAGCCGAGCTTGACGTACTTGACTTGACGGAAAGGCAGGAAATCTCCGGGAAGTCGAGGTCTCGATTCAGGCATATCGACCCCGTCGCCGCTTGCTATAATACCTAACAGCTAAGCTTTTTCGAAACCTAAGAGGAAGTGTTGAGGATTCGAGAGCAGAGATGCGTAGGCGGAAGAAGTGGAGGGCGGGCTTAAATGGGGCGGGTGTGAGGCGGAGCGGAGGGGGCGTTGAGGCGAGTGAGGAGAGGAGATACAGCTACCCTCAACGAACTTTTAATTGAGAAGAGAGAATATAAATACAACAATATCAAGGCATTGAATATTGACAGCCTGATCAAGCAATTTGTTGAGTAGGATTATTTAACTTTTTGTCTTCTTGTTTGATACTTGAGGAGTTACGGATTCCCCCTTTTGATTGGTTGAGACGGAGCAACATAATAATGCAGCAGGGGGATGTGGTTGAATGATAATTAGGGGATCCAGTTGAATGGTAAAATTAGTTGAAAAATTCCTCAAGGACCTAAAATATGGGACCAATAGAGAGGACAAGTGAGGTGTCTCCCACCTATTGGATAATGAGTTGGTCATCAACTCATTATCCAATAAGAGGGAGACACCTCACTTGTCTCTCTATTGGTCCCATATTTTGGGTCGCTGTAGCAAAGCTCAAATTTGTTTGTTGTGAGAATAGTACATCAGGTAGGGTTTAGTTGACAAGTGTCGGTTTCTAGGGAGTACATATTTTTAGGGAGTACAACACGGAGGGCATTTTTCTAATTTTCATGGGTCAAGTGTCGTTGATATTCTACCACATAGAGCAGTATTCTGATAGAAGTACTACTCTTTAGGACACTTTTTAAGAGTTATTAAGTAGCTTTAGTTTTGCAACTAGGTCATGGATATAATGTTTGTGATTTGAGCATATTATGAATGGACAAACTTGTGAATACTCTTGTACATATAACAAAGAACTAACATGTACAGTTATTTACAGAAAAATTAAAATTTTAATATTCTTATAACAAAATTTACTTTTGAAGGATATATTTATTTTAAAAATTATGTTTTGGAACATTAAAAAAATAATCTTCCCCAAAATAGTTCAAATTAAAATTAAAAAATTTTGGAAAATGATTTTTCCTTGAAAATAATATTTTTTGCTAAAAATGATATTTTTTTTAAATAGTATTTTCTGAATAAATAATATTTTTTCAAAAATATATTAATTTTTAGAAATAATTATCTTTTATATGTATATTATTTTTTGAATTTTATTTTGGAAAACGTAAACTTTATCCAAAAATTATTCTTAAGAAAATAGTATTTATTTGAAAAATATTATATGTTAAAATTTTATTTCTAGGTTTTTATTATTTTATTTGGGAAAAAAAAGAATGTTATAAGTCTAATAGTAAGAGGCTGGAAATGATCTAAAATAAGTTGTGTCAGCATTAACCCAACTTTTACCAGACACAAAATTATAGTAAAAATACCTAAGAGCTATAATAATACCTAAGAGGGTCTAGACGAGTTAGTAAACTGCTTATGAATAATATACTATGGTCTCCAGTTCAACTATCTTAGAGAGCACCTGCATGATTTAATTTCGTGGAATACTCGAGAGGGTGCATTGAGGGGTGATCGTTAGCCACCCCTGGCAGTTTGATACCCATGGTCCAAAAGACCGTGGGGAAGTTCCTTCACCCAAAGAAAAAAAAACTATATTAAAACTAGACTCGGTTTGAACCTGACCTAGTTTTAGTGGTTTGCCAAATATGATAAGTATCAAGAAAAGAACATATGATGGGAATTAATATATATCTTGGTATCTAAATTTAAAGTTGTTTAGAGGGTGTTTGGGGAGGCTTATTTTTTAGTCAAACTAGCTTTTAAGCTAGCTTGTTTATTTCTATCTATTTGGTAAAATGCCTAATAAGTTAGCTTATAAGTCACATTTAAAAAAGCTAGTATACCTTAGCTTTTGAAAAAGTAGCTTATAAGCTCATCTAAAAAAGCTGGATTTGACCAAATAAATTACTATTCTACTCAAACAATTTTTATAGTATTTTTATCCAAAAAACCAAAAGCCGGCCACTAAAAGTTAGGATAACTTAAAAGCTTAAAAATAAGTCTTCCTAAACACCCTGAACATATATAATTCACTTGATTTCATAATTACCATGTATGTTCACATGAGAATATGGTTTAATTATATCTTTAGATTGGTGCATAACTGTTGTTACAACGTGAGTATAGTCGCACATGAGAAGAAAAAGTTATGAAATTATGTTTTTATTTTCTTTGTTTTAAAGATATTTCATGGTACTGACATTTTTATTTTTTAATTGCGAAGACCTGCATTGAATCGCCTAGTGCATCCGTGTAAGATTTTTAATGATTTCGCAATATTATTAATTTCCTAATTATGTTAAACTTTGAAACTTATTTTATTTTATTTTATTTTATTTTATTTTTTTTTTGGTCAATGAAATAAATTTTATTCATTCACCAAATGTAAGCTTTTGAGAACATCAAGAACCTCCTTTGTGAGGTATCAAGAAATCAAAAACAAATCAAAAAAAAGATCATATATCTTTCTAAGCTATTAACAGAGACTAATCCATTCTTTGAGGTTATCCGCCAAGGAGCTATTAAGGACAATGATCAGTATGTCCATCTTGATTTCCTTTATCAATTGGTCTTTGCTCCTGCACTGTTGTTTGAAGATTCTACAGTTGCGTTCACACCAAATTTTGTACAGGGTGGTAGTAAACGCCAGTCTTTTGATCTTCACTTTGTCACCTCTACCTCTAAGCTTGTTACAGTACCAGTCCAGAAGATTATGCCAATTGCAGGCTCTCCATTTGAATTGGAGCCACAACATCACCTAGTTCCAAATCTCACTTGAAAAAGGGCAATCAAAGAATAAGTGGTCTCTGTTCTCTTGACCGGAACATAAGGTGCACATATTTTCACTTACGATCCCTCTCTTCATCAATCTATCCCTTGTTTGCAACCTGTTTTGGACAGCAAGCCAACAAATAAAGGAATGTTTAGGATAGTTCAAACCTCCCCAAACAGTGTTGCTCCATGGCACTTTACTAGAATTATGAAACTTATTTTAGAACCTGAAGGTCATGTGTATAATTTTATTATGGATTTATTGGCATATTAATGTGAACAATTATGGCTAGCAATAACTTCACATGGGGAGGTGAAAAGGTTTATCTCTAGAGATGGTAAAAACATTTTTCTTATATAGATATATATATACATTCAGGGCCGGGTCCTAAAAGTGAAGTTGCAATTCAACATCTCTAGTCGAAAGGTGCAAGCTAATCACTTGTAGAAAATTCTCTCTATAATGGAAAAGATAAATAATCGATCTACGGATGACACTACGGAAGTTGATGATCATTTGGAGAAGGTTAATCAAGTTCATCATGGAGGTATGTAATTTATGAATTACTAATTTTGTTATATGTACTTTCATTGACAGATTGCTTACAATTACACGCGATTAAGCCTCTGCTAGAATAGCACAATGAAATTCCATGTCTGTAGTGATTAATCTTTTAGTGTTGCTAAGTAATATTAGTAATATTATATGGCAAGTTTAAATAAGGGTGAATGATTCTTGGATGTGGAAGCAACTTCTTAAAGTGAGGAATATGATGATTGACAAATTAAGTAATGTTATAAATATTCAAAATGTTATCAACATGAATTGCTCTGAGGGGAAGGTTCAATTATATATCTTCTATCTACATTGAACTAATTCAACAAAATGCTCAAGTTGCTTGGTCGAAAACAGTCTGGGATGGTTCGCTCTACCCTAAGCATTCTTTTATCTTATGGTTAGTCATTCATTCTAGATTATTAACGCAAGATAGTCTATGCCACATGAGGATGCTTGACACAAATCTCTGTGTTCTGTGTTCTTACCAGCAGTAGGAAACTTGCAGACGCCTCTTTTTTGAACGTGAATATTCAACTAGTATATGGAATAGAGTTATGGATTGGTTGAATTATAATTGGAAATCATGCAATTGGGATTGTATCATTGACTGGTACAACTTGAGACTGAAGGGTTTGGGTTTTATGAAAAAACTAAAAAGACTGGCATTATCAGTATTAGTTTATACTATATGGCAAGAAAGAAATCAGAGGATTTTCCAGCACAAAGCCAGAGGCCCTGAATTCTTGTTTCGGACTGTGAAGCTATCCATCCTCTCTAAAGTTTTGAATGATAAAGTTTCTCCTTACATAAAAGATAAGATTGAGCAAATGTAAAGTTTTCTTTCATAGTTGTCTTCTAGTTTTTTCTGGATTGTTTTGATGTTCTTAAAATTCTCAATTGGAAAATGAATAAAATATATTTCATTGACCAAAAAAAATATTATATGACTCACATTACCCGATGGGATCTAGTAAACCATATAGTAAGCTATTATCTGCTACCATAGAAAACATAATTATATGATTCACATTACCCGATGGGGATTTTGTAAATCATATAATTAGCTACAAGAAAGTGCTACATAAATCATAATTATATGGTTCACATTATCCGATGGGGATTTTGTCAACCATATAATTAGCCACTAACTATACATTAAGCATTACTCGATGGGGAATTTTGCAAAACAAATATAACATGAGAGACTTACTGACCAAGTGACAATGAAATTATAATAAC